TTGCCACTTGGTGGTTAGGCTCGGGACTTATTGACCGATGTGTTATGACTCATCGATGCCGGTCTATGAAAATCGATATAAGATTTTCCACGATTGCATGATTCCACCGTAAGTTATTTTCACTGAAAAACTTTATTTTTCTCCATAGGCAATATTTTAAATGATACATTTCCTTCTCATTTTCTGTCTCTTTTAGTTGTCCCACCAAGAGTTATCCAGGTTAGTGCAGAATGATTTAAACTAATTGCTCGATGAATAATGATAGAAAAAGAAATTACTGGATCATGACAAAACGCTCATAGTTCGCGTAGCATTTCAGCTTGTAAATTAGATTCAAAATGAAATAACATGCAAATTGCTCTGTTTACAGGTGTCTGGCAAGTGCCGATGGTGATGTGGCAAGATTTGAACGGTGGTCGTTGCTCAATGGGAGACGCCTGCTCGAATCCACCAGACTCCGATGGAGTTGTTAAAATGATTATGAAGAATTTTGAACGACATTACACAACCAACAGGTATGTGTTTGATTGGAAATACTCCAAAATCGAGTTTGCGAATGTTTTTTTTATCCCCTTTTCAATTTCATTACAGAGCTCCATTCGGTCTCTTCTACCATGCTGCCTGGTTCACACAACCGCATCACAAAGAAGGATTCATCAAATTCTTGGACACAATAAATGCGATGAATGACGTTTGGATTGTGCAGTAGAACCAATGCAGAAAAGAGAAAAAAAAGGGAAATGTGTCGGAATGCAAAATTCTTCTAATTATCAACGATGTCAGGAACATCACAACGAATTGAGAGAAACAATAAAAAACAAACGAGTAATAAGTCTTTTCACACGTCTTTTAGCTGCTGTAAGGGTTTCAAAAGCTTACTCAAAGGACAAGGTTTCGCACATTTGCAAACTCATTCGGTTTTTAGATTTGGAAGAGTCTAGTTTTGGAGATGTTGTGTGACATTAATTTAATTTCCATTTTTCACTTTGAAAAATTTCTTTGACTTAATTTAATTGAATGCACTGTCGGGAAATGGTCCATCCCAACATCGTAGAGTTCGTGGAATACATCCGAGTCGACCACATGTCCTATTTGGTTTTCGAGATGTTGTGCAAAACTTTGGAGGACGAGATCTACTCCGAAGCCTACGCATACGACAGGAAGCGGACGGCAGCAGCGGCTTTCCAACTTCTGCTCGAAGTGGACTACCTGCACAACAATGGAGTAATGCACCGGGACATAAAACCCAGCAATATCCTGGAGGATATTGCTGGTAACTTGAAAATCTGCGACTTCGGATTGGCCACAAAGCGAGAAGTCAATTTCGAACCGTACGGGACATACGCTTACCATGCACCGGAGGTATTCCTGAAAGTAGGATACACCAATCGTGTTGATATTTGGGTAAGGGAATAAAGATAACTGTGATTCATTTGTACATTCTTTTCATATTTTTTTCAGAGATTACTACACTGTAAGTTTTCGGAGGGGAATGAGTAATCTAGATACAGTGCAAAATAGCGGTTTCAACTGTTTTTGGATGAATTTACACTAATTTTAGGGGAAAATGTGTTATTGCTTATGCGAACGCTCAAGTAGCTACTATTCATATACGTGTCAATACATAGACACGCACTGGTGACCATTGACCAAGCCTGTGCAGTTGTATGTATTGTAAATTTTGCACACAGCAACTCGTTCAATACATACAACTGCACAGACTTGGTGACCAGTGCGTGTCTATGTATTGACACGTATATGAATAGTAGCCACTTGAGCGTTCGCATAAGCAATAACACATTTTCCCCTAAAATTAGGGTAAATTCATCCAAAAACAGTTGAAACCGCTATTTCGCACTGTATCTAGATTACTCATTCCCCTCTGAAATTTTGGTGTGTATGGGATATTTTTATTCATATGGGATAAAAATATCGCATAAAAACAACAGATATTTTTCGCGCGTTGTGTTAAACTCTCGCTCTTTTCGATCGACACTCTTCGTACCCAGCTCGAACTCTTCGTACCCATTGACGTCGTTTACAAACGACGGCACAAGCGATACACACACAGACATTGTGTTGACACACGAAGAGTGTTCAAAGAAAGAAGTGAGCGAAACATGTGCATGCACGCTCCGCGCAGCTCATCGTAAGTGTGAGGAGTATAACGAAAAAAACAGCGACTCTATGTGTGCAGAATCGCTATTGTGTATTTATCCGTTTCGCTGAACACAACGCGCGAAAAATATCTGTTGTTTTTATGCGATATTTTTATCCCATATGAATAAAAATATCCCATAGTAGTCTCTGATTTATTTCAAAAAAAATTGTTAAAATATTATTAATTAAACATTCTAAATGTTTAATTTCAATTCTGTATAGGCTGCTGCAATGACAATCGTGGAAATGAAACTGCGACGACCGCTTATCAAAACAGCCTCGAAGCACAAACTGCGGAAAAATAAATATGCGCAGCTTCCCGAAAAAAAAATCCCGAAAAAAAATTCCCAAAAAAAAAATTCCCTACACAAAATTCCCGAAAAAAATTCCCGAAGACAAACAAAATTCCCAAAAAAAATTCCCAAAAAAAATTCCCGAAACAAAATTCCCGAAGACAAAATTCCCCAAAAAAAAATTCCCAAAACAAAATTCCCGAAGACGTAATTCCCGAAGACCAACAAATGATGGCGGCCGGGGCATAAACAACGCTACGGCTTCGCATCTCTGTCGCCAACTGGTGCTAGCACCTGTACACTCACACATAATGTCAAAATCAATGTCAAATTCGTCAACACAAGAGTGAAAAAGTTTCCATTCAGTGTGTGTAGTACAGGTCAGGGACCAGAATTGGTGGGTACTTCTATTTGCTGGAAAATGATGGTTCTATATGCCGTATGATGGAACCAAACATACTTTTAGGTCACAACTTCATTCAGTGTGTGTAGTACAGGTGCTAGCACCAGTTGGCGACAGCGATGCGAAGCCATAGCGTTGTTTATGCCCCGGCCGCCATCATTTGTTGGTACGGGAGAATGCTCTCTTAATTATTTGCATTATAAAGTGTTTCCAGTTTCGACTTTATTTAACTCACTCTCGCATCTTTTGCCATCATTTTTTTTCTTTTTCATTTGCTAATTAGGGGGTTTTTCATCATGCAGTTATGATTACGTACAATTGCTCATTATTTATAATTAATAGATTTTTTTCATTTCCACATCCATCGTGAAACCATCGACGTGCACAGATACAATTTATTTCCAATAGGTGTCTATTTTTCGGACGATATAGCAATCCATCCATATTTTTGGACAAGTTCACACATATTGTCCGGTTTTGTGGCCAACTTCATACTAATACTATAATAACATGCCATTATAGTATTAGTATGAAGTTGGCCAAAAACAGGACAATATGTGTGTCCAAGTGTCAAATGTACAATAGTATATACAATAGTAGGGTTGGCCAAAAAATGAGACAATATGAGTGAAGTTGTCCGAAAATATGGATGGATTGGTATATTGTCTAAAAAACCGCCAAGGGTTGTCCAAAATTACTGTCTGTGTGCTTTTTTCTGAGAATCGTATTAAACGAATGAAACAAATTCCCCGAATGAAGTTAGCTCATGAAGCGGAAAAAATTCCGAAAAAAGGGAATGCACACAAATTACTGAGATCGGAAGAAATATATTTTGTCTACATTTAACTGTTGATACACAATTTTCTATTCATGTTTCATTCATTCGTTCTTTCATTCGTAAAATGCCCGTTAAACAAGTGCGTGTGTAAAATGGTGGGATAGAAAGAAAGCGTACGTAATGGCTTTTTTTCATCCCAATGGAGCTGACAAATAAAAATGAATGAATTGTTGGATACTGGAATAATTTACGTGAACTGCAAACAAATTAGCTGTGTGCGACGGCATGAAACCGTTTGGAGATTTTTCTTATCTTAAAGGGATTATGCCGCGTAGTAAACAGAATAAATTTTCGACGCCCGACATTTATAGCATCACACACAGTGTTCGCTTTGAAATGTGATGGTTGTACTTGGATTGACTCGGCTCACTGTTTTTAATTATCACCTCATAAATTTTATGGATTCACGTAAATTCGCCTTCGATATTCGCGTACGATGACGATCAAAACTCAAAAAATAAATACGCCGTTTGAACGTTATAATTGAAAAGTAAACAAAAAGTTTTTCCAACGTTTCAATGTTTACGATTGGATGCACTTACTGAAGAATTTGACGCGGTAAGGTCTTGGCCGTAACTCGGCAACTGTTGGTTGGCAAACAAAATTTTTTTTTAGTAAACAGAATTTAATTAAGATTTGGCTGTGTCCAAAAGTTACTTCTTCTGTCACACGCCACTCTTATGATTTTTGTTGTGGTTGACGTTGAGTGGCTTGACAACGGACTAGGCGGATAATTTTTCATCGACTGAATGAAAAGCGTTGAACTTTTGTTTTTTTTCTCGTGGTTCGAAATAGAGCGACAGTTGGAAGTATTGGACGTGATGAGATGTGGAACATAGACGCACATTCTGGAAGTGAAAATATGCTAATTTACTTTATGAAACAGCACCAAATTCAAAGATCAGCAATTCGGTTTGATTTATTGGTATTAGTGTGTGTGTGTGTGCGCCTTAAATACAAAATATCCCAAACAATTTTGACGAAATTAAAGATCGTGGTTTTCCCATTAATCCAATGAATTTAACACAGGCTTCTGCTGTGATTTACGCAAAAGGTCAACGTATCTGCGCCATTGAAACGAAGCTAAAATATATCTCGCTACTATGATGATACCAACATGAACAAATTTTATCGAGGAAAAAAGTTTCAATGTCGAAGCCATCGACCAATCCAAGCGTTTGAACGGCATTTGCAAAGTTTGAGCTTCGCTTTTTGTCCGACACTTAATTCAATTTATTCAGTTTGGTAGCGGTTCGAAATATTCCTTATCAAATTTTTACTGTTGGCTACATCCAGGAGTTAAATTATCCTGTCAAAAAAGGGATATCTTTTCCTTTCCGAAATGACAGTTGGTGCTGAAGAAATTTGCTAGCGAATATGAGTTACGCTCTGACAACAGCTGAATACGCCCCGACGATATCAGCAACACAAAAAAGATCCGGAAAAAACGCGAAAAAGAAATGGAATGATAATAATGCGGCAATAAAAAAGAATGCAGCACTTGTTATTCGCAGCCACTGCAACGATTTTTCCTCCGTTTTTGAACAAATTGTGAGGGTTGAAGAATACAAAAGAAATTCAAATAAGTGTGTTTGTTGATTTTCATGCAGTTATGCGCTCCGTTTATACGACAGTCGTGATTCTCGTATCACAATCCATACGAATAAACTTGAATTTTTCTCTTGTTATTTTTTTCTCATGAACTTCGTCGTTTTCTATTCATGTTTGTTGTATTGCATACAAATTCTTTATGCTCTTCATTTGCAATGCACAATAAATTCAGTCAGTATTTTTTGTCGTTTTTGCTCTTCGAAATTCGTATAATTCCATAAATTTACTTCGGATTTCATATCATCTTGAGTAAAGTATTGGTATTATAGAAAAGAATTCATCACACCGAAATAAAAAATGTAGATGCAAAAGTATACAAACGAAACCAAACAATCGTGCAGAGTTTTCCTTTTTCGGCAGCAATAAAGTTCCCCTTTTCTTTTGTTTACTCTCGCAGTCAACTAACACCAATATAAATCTCTATCTTTCATTTGAGTCGGAAAATCTAGAATAAATTGACAGATAACATGGACTTTGAATTTAATTTAATTGAAGTTACGGGATTTAATTTAATTTTTGTATTATGGGATCAAGGTATTGCACTCTCTGTTACTTTCTTGCAAAGACTTTTCAACGCATTTTATGCTAATTCACTTTTCATCGCCAAGTTAATCAGCAAATCGCATAAAACGCCCGCACACTGA